ATAGGATACTGCTCTTAACATTAGACAATGATCATTTTTATTATTAGAGCTGACTGCAAGTAAGCACGTACAACTATATTTAAAGTGTAAGTCCACCCTTATCTCCTTTGCCCCTCACATATTCTATAGCTTTTCCTTGCTTTGTTGTTTCTTTCTTTGTCAATATCTCAGCCTGCCAAGTTATATTAATCAGATTATGAGAGAGAAAAAAAAATCATAAAGAACTGGTAATATTTAGCATTTTTTGACAGGAAAAAGTATGAGGACTATAAGTACTGTTCTAGTAGTTTTTAGTAGTTTCTTCATTTAAGCTGCCTATAATGACACAGTTATTCTATTAGGGTTGGGTTTAGGTGGATTTTTTAATTTTTTTTTTTGTTTCTGTTTTTTTTTTTTTTTTAATTGAGACTTTAAGGTAAAATTAGGGGGGAAAAAAGACAGTAACTTATTTTTTTTTAGCTGGGATTGTTGTCATTTATGCTATTAAATATAAATATTCACACTTAAAGTCACAATAGTTTTCAAAAATATTACATCCTCAAACCTCTCCTTATGCCACTGTAAACTCCTAATTTCAGCTCCACAGATTTCCCTTAAGAAATCTTTATTTTATATCAAAGCTAAACCCAACAAAAGCAAAGTGGATTATAATAAGGCAGGGATTTCACTGATATATATGTGCGCATTTTTTTGGCTTCATGGTCACCCTGACAAATAAACTCTTGATCTCCCCAGTGCAGCTGCCTGGGAGCAGCATCACGTCTGTGCTGCACACAACTTCTGGAGGTGTTTTCAGGCGTTGCTATATAAAGCTTTGAACATTCTGGTACAGTCACCATCCAAGTGAGTCAGCTGAGCCTGAATCACTCTGAGACATGCCATCAAACTGAAAAGATCTGTCTTTTGAGATTGGGTTTGACATTCTTAAATTTCCACCTGTTTGGGTGGTGAAGTTTAAGTCTTCGGTAATAAGTAAAAATAAGCAAGTTTTATAACCTCTTTGACTTTTTTTGTTCCTTGATAGAAATAGGATTTAAACAAAACAAAAATGTTCTGTTTGTGTGTGTGTGATTAACATAATGATAGCCTATGGGAAGGTTTTATGTACATTTGTGTGCACAGGCTTTTTCCCTCTGTGAATACAGAAACACAGTTCTGTTCTGGCTTGAGGTAGCTTCTCCTAGACTGTTAACCACACCCCCTCACCCCCTACAGGACTTGGAAAGATTGGCACAGCACCACCTAACTTCACTTTACACTACCAAAGAATTTCTCCAATGGAAGCATCCCTTGTTTCACTGTTGGGGCAAATCCACAATCCTCTTGTGCCTCTTCCCAATCATAAAAGAGAAAAACTGCATGGATCCATGCACAGCTTTCACAAATAACATTACATAAATCTGATAGAAAGACTGATGTACATACTCACACAGTGTATAATTATTCTTTCAGTAGTCCTCTTCTCATACATTTTATTCTCATTTTGTAGTACATTTCTCATCACGGTTATTAGGCTTTAAGATACCCTTGACAAATATATAAAGGGCAATATTCCTCACTGGCATCAAATTATGTTTAGGGTTTTTTGAGTTAGTAGGTAATGTACCAGTAAAAGAATAATTAATTCCTGAAGGACTGAGCACAAAAACAAGCATACGTTTTCTGAGAAAGTGAAAACTTTGACTAAAGAGAAAGTTTATGAATTATCATGCTGTCATCCAACTGGATCAGTAGCCTTTTTCATGTTGTTTACTAAATGCCAGGCAAATCATGACAGCAATGAATCACATGGTTCCAGAATTAACTGATGACTTTGGAGAATTTTCTTTCCCATGAATTAAGGCTTTTGGCAAAGAGGAGGTACAATAGTCAGAATGCAAAATGCCTTGGATTCAGAGAGTCCATTGGCTTTTAACACCTTGTATCTCCTGCCTGCAAAGGCATTTCCTGTGACTGGATGTGAAGCAATGCATACTCAAAGTGGACTATGTAAAAGTCATGCAGAACAGAGGAATGTCTTGTAAAATTACCTGAGTGGGTTCTTAAGTAGTGAGCACTAATTTCAGAACAAAATTAGTAAAATCTGTCCAGAAAGTTTATTATGCCAGCTATGGGAAACCCAGTTCAAAGATATTATCAAATAGCATACACTACTCTGATCTGTGGAAAACGTTTCCTTAAGATATGATCCAACAAAATGAGACAAAGATAAAAACAAAACAAAAAAGTTTTGAAGTTTGAGAATATATGGATAGTTTCTCAACTTAATGTCCTTATTTATTCTTTCATGTCAAAAATCTTGTTGCAATATGAAGCAGAGGTGTCAAAGGAAAATATGTTTATGTGGTACTTTTTGCTCAGCTAGCAGCAGATAGCACTGAAAAAACTGATCTCTGCAATGGCTCTTATGTCATTTGTACTTCTATGGGGTGGAATGGACATTGCAGATGAGGTTCAGTCTTGTATTTCAGGATGGCAGAACTCCACATCAGGCACTGAAAGTCTGTGAACATTATTTGTTTATGGGTCCAAGACAGATATGGGATGAGACCCAAGGAGGTGCACCTTGTCCAATTCCCTCTGCCATGGGAATAAAACACTTTGAAAGAAGGTCAGGATGAAGAAAGTAATAGAACTTAAATAGCTGAATATCAGAAGTCACTGTCTCCCATGCATTTACAAAATGTCTCTGCTAAATGTCTTTGCTAGTAATACAGGGAATCATTTTTCCCATTGAACTTTGAAAATTACTCTTCATCAGGGTCATATTGACTTCTGTTTTTAAAGCAAAACCAAACAAGCTGGTGCCTTCAGCTTCTTTGTGGAGCATATCTATGTTTCTGTCCTTGTTCTTTGATCTGTCTCCATTTGTGGTCATTTTTCACTGTGACATCCCCTCCTACCTCCCCATTAGAAACAGCACTCCTGTTGTCTTCCACTGTTGGCTAAAACACCAATTACTTCAGCCTAGTCCTCATTATTCACGATTAATTTCTTTATTTTTGTTATTCATCTAGTGTATTTCTAAACGCTTTTGTTTTGTTAAATTTCTCACAACTTGCCCATTTCATTTTGCACCCGGTTTCATGCCCATTTCATGTTTCTTTCACATGTGTTATCTTCCATGATTTATGTTTATAGTAAGCTTGTTTTTATGTTTTAGTGAGGTTTGATATCTCAGACTGTTAAAAAAACCAACTTCATTAGTTTATTACATATGTAGTACTTTCTCTCTACATTGGGATAAACTATCACTTTCCTTTCAATACAAAATTTTGAGGAAAGAGACTTCCCACACTCATTTGTCCCTTTGATTATCTCCCCAACAGACTCTATCTACCACTTGCTTGAGATTGGTCTTATCTTTTCAGCCATTTTGCTGCATTCACTTCTTTCTTTCTGGGAAAAGTGAGTGCTCATGTTTCAGCAATTGATCACCCAATTTCGCTTCTTTTACTTTCTATTAAAGCAGCACCTCTAAGTGTAGCATGTGTTAGAGCTGAAACTTAGAAGAGAATACCCCGGTTTAGACCATTCTATTGATGCTGGACACAAAAACAATGAAAATGAACACTCCACAGGAAAGAAAATGAGGCCCAAAACCACACTTAGGAGGTGAGACAATGCATTAAAAACATCAGCACAATCATAACGATGACATAGTTATCACCACATAACAAGCAGAAGAAAACAATTCATGAAGGGCAGCAAACTTCAGCACAGCACACCAAGAGCATCGTCCTTCCAGGATGTGAGCCCTCAGAAACTTGGAAGCTTCTGTGCTTGACACAAACCAGTCTTTTATAAGGACATGTCAATTCCTGTCATTCTGCTCCTTTTCAGGAAATGTTCCTCCTGCAACCTCTTAGACCCATAAACACTGGGCTGTTTTCCATGGTCTAGCTGTCTCTTGCTGATGGAAAAGGACTACTACAACACTTCCTCTCCTCATTACAATAACAGCAATTTCACATTAAAAGACATATTAAAGATTAGAAAATGTAATTTTAGGTCTGATGTCAATTTATCACATGAAGGCCACATTATTAAAATGTCTGTGTCCTGTGGAAGAATAATTTAGGTGATCTGATACTATGACAATTTTTATTCTTGCAAGTTAGGCAGGCCCCTACAACTGACTAACAACAACACATCCAGGAAGAAAAAATGTCATAACTGTCTTAACTTTCCTGGCCTAACTGCACCTCATCACATAATTTCCTTTCTTCTTGTGCAAGGAAAGCTTTCAAGAGACCACATAGGAACCTTCTGCCATTTCATTTACCACGAGAGATTTGTAGCTACCCAGAAGATGATAATCTGCAAAACCTTCTGCACACATCTTCCCTATTTAACAGTTATCTGATCAGCCACTGAATAAAAGAGTAAAATAACCTTTATATTTTGCTCATAAAGAAATGAAGCATTACTAGAAACATTTGAAAAGCTGTAACAGAAAAAAACCCCAACAGATGGGGGTCATTTACTCTAGCTCTGGTGAGATAACAACACCCCTAAATTAGGAATGCCTTAAACTGTAAAAGGCTAACAAGGGTGATGCATCACAGTGCCTCTTTGTTATCAAGAAAGATTTCATCAACAGAAATTCCAGTGCTGAGACACCTAGCTTGTTTTAAATGGTAGTACCCAAAATAACCAGTCTTAAAAAGGTCACGTTTATTTAAAAATAGCTTGCTTGCATTTTACATTAAAGTTAATTTACTAACCTTAAAAAATTAAATGCAAATGTATACAAATAATTTAAGCATCCTGTCAAAGTTCACATACACACTGCTAGAGCAATGGCAACATTCAAGGTCATACGAAATCTTTCTTAACCCACCTATCACCCTTTGGATTATTCTGTTGAATATATGCTGATCTGAACGCTTGCACCCTCTCTTCAGCAATTTGTATCCTTGTTAAAAAAAAATAAATCAAAACTCTAATTTCCTATTTATCATGTGCTTCCCAGGCCATAACAAAGAAGGATACTGTACCTCTGATGCTGGTGGCTGTTGCCGATGTGGTTGTGCTGGCTGTTAAGGCTACATTGGTTGTGACTGTTGCAGTGGTAAGGGAGGGGATGACAGTAGTGGGAAGCAAAGTGCTGAAAACATCTGGTGAGTGGAAAAAAAAATATAAAATAAAATCATATCATGCAAACAAAGGAGAACCATAATAGTGGTTTAATTTGTAAATACAAGTATGTTGAAAATGACTAAATTAAAACATGATTAACATAAATTATTACAGGTACAACAGGGTACCTTTAAATTCTTGACATTTATCACTCTCAATTTTTATAGTAAATCTTTGAGTACACAGAATTTAAAACTCTGTTAAAATGACCACATTTCCACAGAACGAGAGAGTGACAGTTTAAGTGACAAGAATCCATTTCTTCACTGAGCCATTTTAAATGTCTCACGTAGTAGAAACCATATACAGATGAAACATGCTGTGTCAGAGTGGGAGATGAAAAAAACAACACCATCATGCTAAAATAAACACACACATGTTAACGAGAAATGGCTGTATGTTAAAACACCCACTTTCAGACAGACTCAATGGAGGGAAAAAGGGGAGAAAATTCTACTAACTATAAGAGCTGCTTTTTCCGGATTGCTTTTCTTCTTCCCACACATTTGCTTAAGACACAGTTGTCTGCTAAGATCCAGAGCAGAGTATATTTCAAAATCTTTACCCTAATTTGCAGGTACAGTCATCTTTCAGTCATCCTTAATGCTTACAATTTATTGTTAGTACACATCAGTATTTTTCTAAAACATCTTCAAACTAAAAATCAGAAATGATAATAATATTACTGATAAAAAAGTATGCATGCAAGTCAGAAAAAAATCATACAAAAAATGATGACAGCATCCTATAAAATCCTTCAGGCTTTGCTCAAGCAAGTGCAGGAATGCCAAAATTAGGAGCATGACTGCTTCTCTGCAGAGGAGCCAACAACACCTGATGCAGAATGCTCCAGCACAGAGCAGAACATAACCAGATGTACACTTAGAAAATACTTTGCTCACACTTCCAAAAGCAATAAAGACCAATAGGATTTTGCCTATAAGGTGATTGCAGGTTTTAAAGAACAAAAAACACAAAAGCTCTGAAGAGAAGTAGAGAAAAGCACTTCTGAGAAGACACGAGCATCTGACACTTCTCAGATTATTTATATCGCAGGTTTGAAAGGGAAGGACTCTTTTCTCAGCAGCTGATGGTGAGTGACCCATTCCATACTGATTTCACTGAAAATATTTCTGAAGGGTGCTATTCAGTGCAATAAAAGAGCAAAAGTCTGACCCACAATCTGTCTTCCCTTGCTTTGGAAAGAAATGCAATTGGTCCCTGAGTACCATCAATTCAGACTGAAATCAATGGAAGCTGAAGTAGCTCAGAGCTTTTCAGTATTGGGCCCTACAGAACACACTTCAGACACAGAACCCTTGAATTCAGCATTGTGTAATTATTCTCTTAAGGCTTCAAAGTAGCATGCTTACCTTATTTCCATGCTGGATGACAGATTTTTTTCCAAAATTAAAAGTCTCCTTGTTAGTTACTCTATAAGTCATCTACTATTTTCTGTATTCCTCTAGTTTTGATAAAAAATACCACTATGCTTTCTGGAATCTATACCTGTGTGATGTTTTACTTCTGAAGCCATCAGAAAACAAAAATCCATCTTTCATCTATACACTGATTTTTAATCTAATGTACACTGATTTTTAATCTAATTCCCAGTATAAAATATTCTCAAGACAGAAAAATTAGAGCAGGCTTTTAAAAACCCTCACACTTGTAGCCATATTAATCACCAGGAATAATGATAATATTACCTGGAGTGTGAGTACCACAATAATGAAATAGAACTGAGTATAACAAGCATTAGAAATAAATTAACATGTTAAAAAGATACATGTCACATGTACTGATCTGTGCAATTTCTTCTCATAAAGGGAAACTCCTTCCCTGATAAGGATCTGTTAAAAATTAAATCAAAGAGAAAAAAAATCCACCTACTTCATAAGGAGAGCAAAACCTTGCTTATTAGGAAAGCTGTATACATCATTCTTGTACGTAAAACTAATTAGTGTGACTCATGGTTCCATTCACTATCTTTCTTAAATACCAATTACTTAAGACTGCAATGACAAATGATGGTTTTATGACAGAGCTATCCAATCTGCAAGCATGCTGTTTACCTATTTTACCAAATAATAGCTTACATGAATCACTGGTTAACTTAGTACTTTCTGGTTTCTCTTCAGATTGAAGCATTTCTAACAAGATTTCTTATTTTATATGAAAGGCTACCTAGGAAGCATTCTAGCTAACATGAACTAGGATATGTCAGTGTTTTAATACAGATGTGATCTCATCAGATTAATGAAAACTTGTGCAGATATTAGTTTCCTGATGAAAGTCACAAACTCTGATGCCAAACATCAAAATGGAAGCCTGGCAGAAGACTCAAAGAAAATGCGTCTTCTCAAAAGGGATGCAAAAACAAGGAATAGCATTTGGTTTCTTTGCAGGGTGAGGTGGATTTCACCGTGCAAATGACTGCAGTCTGTCTGCTTTGCTCACAGCAATAACAGGACTTGCTCCTAAAGACCCCAGCACAAGAGAGAAACCAGGAATCAGCAGCCTGAGGAGCATCACATTTGCCCAGGCAATGAAATCTAAGTCTGTTTTGGACTCCAGAAAGGTTTGGTTTGCACCAGCTTACATTCAAGGCTCTGCCCAGTGGAATACTCTATTAACAACATGACAGTCTTCAACAGGAATGTGCAAATTTAACCAATAACTCAGAGCACTCCAGACAATGCTTTTTGGAATGCCTGGATGATACCTCATCCTTAAATCCTTCTCTGGACAACCCAGATCCAAGAATTCTGAACTGATCCTCACGTCGAAAAGACCTGTGTTTATGGTGCCTGCTGAGTCTGACATCCTATCAGTTCTTCCAAGATTTATGGATTCTTATGAAAACTTTCTCTTTGCCTTGAAAAGGCTTTTGTATAAGAGAATACAGAATATGCAGTTCAAGAAATAAACTAGAAGCAATGTCCAGTGTTCCTCATTCTCTCATCATGCATTACAGGTGTAGGATGGGATTGGAATGGGTTTGGAAGTTCCCAAAAGCACACAGACTACGGATAAAAAAAATTATACTTAACAGCACAGGCTTCTGTTTAAGCCATATGGATCACTGTGCTTCATAGAGGGTGTGCTGCTCCATTTCATGCCAGAAGAGAGAATTACAATTTGACCTGTTTCGATTCCTGCAGGACTTTTGGTCATTTCTTTTTTTAGTGCAAGGTAAACCTATCTTATTTCACTAGCGAGGCACACATTGTCACCCAGAGCTCCCTGCTGGCAGCTGCTCAGAGCATGCTATCACAGGGACAATGTAGATTTGTCCTCTTGAGCTTTCTATCAGAGAGGATCTTAACAGAATAGATTTGCAGATTTCTGCCCAAGAAATCTGTGCTGGAGTGAAACTAAATTCCACTCCCTTGTCTTGCAATTTGTGAACCTAGTTGTACACAATGTTCAGCTGAAAATGAATTTTTCTTTATGCCTCTCATGCCACTAAATACCAAGGATCATTATGACCAAGAGACCTTGCAGAGCGAAACTTTTTAATTCAAGTAGCCATACCCAAATCACTGTGCCAGATTGCTATTTCAATAATACTAAGGTATTAATCCTTAGCCTCCTGTGAAGCAGAAAATAGCTATATTTTGCAGATGGGGAACCAAAGAAGATAGAAACGCCATGCTCAGGAGATCTAGAAGTCAAGCAAAAATTGTTTCCATTAATTTTGAAACCTCACTTCTAAACTGGATGTTTGTTGACAGACAGATATTCAGTCAAAAATCCAATAATGTAATTAAGTTGGTATTAACTTCATCATCTTGCTAGCTCTGAAATGCAGACAACTCATGGAGAACTAATTGTTTCCATAAAAGCTGTTGGAAATAGAAAAGGGGTTGACCTTCAATGCCAAGGGACTCCCATGGACTCTGTCACTTCTGTTCCACAGGTTATCGAGGTGAGGCTTGAACTGGACATGCAGTAGGAGAGATGGGCTCCTGCCCCCTCTCTCTGGTGGCACAGGGAGGTTTGAGCTGAGCTGCAAACGCTCAGCCAAGAACCCTCATTTCAGTGAGGACCTGACATAATGCCAGAGCTTGGTGCTGCAAGAGAGCAGACTGAGCAAAGCTCTGGAAAGGTGCTCCTCGTGGCACTGCTGCCTGCTGACATGCCACCGGCAGGAGCCAGGGGAGAGCAGCCAGCAGGCATCCTGAAGGCTGATTCCCAGGGGATGGGGGAAAAAGAGGAACAGGCAAACTGGCCTGGTGTGGAAGCAGCTCTTCAGCAGAGGCACAGATGCAAACTCCTTAGGAGTGGCAGGGCAGTGTTGGACCAGATCAGCTTAAAGCAGTGTCGAGCCCCACCTGCCCAAAGTTTCCTGTTTGCTTCTCCTTGCTTGAATTGATTCTGCGTTCTCCTTGCTAAGGCAGAAGACATCCATCCATTTAAGTGCAGGGAGCCTGGATAATTTACTCTCCCTGCCAATTTGGCCCTGAGCATTTTTACTCTCCATTTCCAAAGAAATGAGAAATGGTTCTGTTTGGTTTAGTGGGCTTATGTGAAAGATAGATCTGACCTATTGAAAATATTTGACTTTTTTGGTAAAAACACAACCGATATTTTGACATGACTGAGTACAAATCAGACAACAATAGCTGCAGCTGATAAAAATGTAAAGGCTTTTGTTTCAAGCCTGACAAAAGCTGACAGAAAAATTAAAGGACAGAGTGATAATGATGGATGGTCCTTGCTGTATTTTGACTGAGAATGAAAGAAATTTTAAGTGGTAAACTGAACTGAGTGATGACCTACCTGGGAAACAATCTCACTACTCTGTGAAAAATTTAATCAGTCTGTGATATGTAGCACTAAATAATTTAGCAAGGTTTTAAATTCAAAGGGAGCTGCATTTACCTTGCTTCAAGAAAATGGGATTGAACAAAAGGATCACTCAGCTTGAACATCATGTGCCAATAGCTCCTTAGCGCTTAGACTGAATGATCAT